GAATAATCTTCATTTTTCTTCTTCTTAGTTCGAGTTAACTGTGTAAGATAAATAGCCCCCCCCCAAAAAAAAATATTGAAATGATACAAACATTTGAATTAATGTTTGCTAATCGATAGTTAAACATAATTTTCCACTAACCAGTCCTCTTTATTATGCATGTTTGACCTATCTTAACAATGGTAAATATAATCACCTGAGTTTTCATACAGAGGGTTGAGTACGTTATATTAAAACGAGTTTGAATATGGTAATCAGCATGTCACGTGACAACTACAGTCTATATAATGTTATGGTGGAACGAAGTGTATCAGAACAACATTTTGAGATTGTTTGGCGTTTCGTAGATAATGTGATGCCAACGAAAATTGATGAATTTTGGGAAGGGTATGTAACAGTTTTGTCAAAACAATATTCATACACTCAGGTCATAAAGATGTGTTCAGATCAGGGACTTAGAATTTCCAAGACGGGATATCTCTTGTATCCATGGTATTGGAAAACAAAGGAATATATATCAACATGGGGCACCAGAAACATCCAGACAGAGACCTACAAAACGTCGTATCCAGGCAGTGGTAAACAAACTGCAGCATTTTGTAACATATGAGAATCCACGAACACTAGTGGGAAAATTCGTCTGGAAAAGGGACACAAGTTGTTTCCACGACATATTCACTTAAAGCAGTTGGAGTATGAAATTGGTATTCGTACTATTCAATACTAAAATATACCGGTCAAGTCGAGAAACGCGGCTTCTGTGTGATCAGAGTGTGGAAAATGGCGCTGAGAATCTATCTTAATTGTACACTAGATGGTTTATGAAAATCAAGGAAGGAAGAGGAATGTGCTTGAAACATGAAGGTCTGATGACGATGTCTTTTGCGATGTAAACTGCGCTGCAGTCTATTGTCAATACTTACAGTCCTCAGATAAAGTATGACAGTACATGCGGACTATAACGACATGGTGAGGCTCCAAAATCGTTTTAATATAACGGATGCGACCTCTATAGTATGTGTAAGTTTTTATTGTCACACTCAGTTATGATACCAATACAGCTAGACTAATGAAAGTTAACAATACCAGAAACTAGTAGTGCTTCTGTTTGTATATTATAATAATAATACATAATTAACTCTAAATCAACCAAGCGCACAGTTTTCTTTGTATAGATTTATTGAGGGGCAAATAGTTTTCTTTGTTTAAGAAGTTCTCTTAACGCCAAGACAAAAAGTATGAGGAAAACAAGTTTTAAAGTTCCGGATAATAAATCTTCCTTGTGATCTGATAAAACTTGCGAAACAACCGAGGTGACGTGATTAACACAACGTACTTGTATGTTGCGCCGTCTGTATAGAGCTAACCCCTCCTTCCTTAAATTTGCACATGAAAATTCCTAAACCTTACTGAAAAATTACTGCATAATGTACGCATGCCTGAGAAGTAATCTTAAAGAATAACAGCGTGTAATCCACATAGTTTACAAATAAAACAACTCCCACGACTTTGTTTAAATAGCCAAATGTCTGTCTGTCACGCTCTGTATCTGCTCAACAGTTAATCTTAGAAAAAATTATATATATATATATCAAAATTCTTCTTTTAAAGAGTACATTACAGGAATTTAATTCATTTTTTTGCAATTCCTAAGATTTCATATCGATATCAACATCCATCCGTCAGTCTTTGTATGTGTTGAACAGTTAATCTGAGAAACAAATTATTCGTGAGGGAATTCCATATAAAAAGTGGGACTTTCTCTGTCAACTGATTGAAAGAAATATTTCGAAATAGGAACATGAACGAAAAAAAAAAACGCATAAAGAGAGGAACAGTGTCTGAATATATATTTGTTGTCAGTATTATATACATGTATGATTGATTTGAATTGAACTAAATATCTTCCCTTTGATACTTCTTATAGAATTGACAACTGTCAAAAAGCGCTCACTTCCGTAGCGGTCGTTCCTTGCGCTCAGTAAATGACAAGGAACGGTGGCATCCAGTGGTACAAATCCCAGCGGCATCCAAGCGTTCCAATGTGCTAGATGCATTCATTGCATCTTAACCCAAACATTTATGCCAAAAATGCATTGTATTCAGTCTCCTTTGCTTAAAACCAAATGCAATACAATTTTCTTTATTGGAATGAAACATGGAATGGCAAAAGACTGTTTTAAACGACCCACTATATTGTATATACGCTCGGATCAAAGGGATTGGGTTGGCTGCACATTTTATATCTATTCATCATTATTTTCAAGAAAATTACCGTTGAATTATTTCAACGGACATATGCTAGTGTACAATAATTTTAAATAAAAATTGGTATATATATATTTTTCCAATATATGCTTCAATTGTTTATTTGTTTGTTTTTAATTATGCACAAAGCTACACAAGGGCTATCTGTGCTCTGCCCACCACGGGTATCGAAACCCGGTTTCTAGCGTTGTAAGTCCGCAAACATACCGCTGTGCCACTGGGGGGCTGCTTCAATTGAAGTACTGAAACAAACTCTTCAAAATTAGAAAGTCCTGCTACCTTCCAAACGTTAGAACTTGAATAAGAATGTAACTTGTAAAATATTTATCACAAGAGTGTTCCTATTTTTTGAATATTATTACTTTAAGCAGTGTGTCATATTTAATTTATCATAGGAAAGCAAAAGGCCTTGCAATGCAATTTTTATTTTCATAATAACACATCTTTAATTCTTTTACGAAAAAAGTTTACTTATAGAAGTTGTATATTAATAGAATAAACATAATTTTAAAATAACTAACAACATTCATGCTAATCTACTTTTTCAATATCCTGAGATCTTCTGTAACAAAACAAAATTATTTTGTATTTCCCGTTTCTTCTTTTTAGCGGTAATTCCCGTCATTTGGGTGAACCATTTAGTAATAAACCGCAAGATACTACCACAAGTCGTCAGAGTAGAGGGCGCTTTTCCACTACCACAGCAACAGCCTCTACAGACGAAGAGGAAATTATGAATGAGATCAAGATTCAGGCAGCAGACATGCCTAGTGATATGCAACGCAAAGCTTTAGAGAGTGCAGCCCAAGCCATCAAGCTTTACACCACCGAAAAACACATTGCGGAGAGCATCAAGCAAGATTTTGATACCCTCTATAATCCCACGTGGCATTGCATTGTGGGTCGCAACTGGGGCAGCTGCGTGACACATTCTAAACAGTGTTACATTCGACTAGCGTACCGAGATATGACGCTCCTTCTTTACCGATCAACCTGAGGTATCCAGATGTACAAGAAAGGTGCAGAGCTTCGATACAGAACTTACGAAATAGGCGCATGTGATCATCAATCCGTGTGCGCGTACGAAAGAAAGACGTCGGTATACACGTAACATTGGAAGGATTTCCGTTTTTTTTTTTTTGCTGTTTTTTGTGCGTCTTAATTATAAAACAAACATCCTTATTGTATTGCTTCATGGACAGGTTGTGTCATATAATGACTTTCCTCCTGAACGCAGGTTTTCTATTGAACCCGAACATGGACACCACCACCTGGTATAAAAATATTTTGACTACAATAGTTACCAGGTGCTGTAATATTTGGAAGGGGTTTTCATACTTTATTGGCTTCTACCCAAAATGACATCTTTAGCTCCATTTTGGGAGACCATGTGTGGGGAATTAATACGAACCTATCGTCATATTCATAGAAAATATCACAACACAGAAGACATCATCTCCACACACGTTAGGCCTACACTACTATAACTTAATATCTTGTTTTGGTGGCTGTGTCATCGCTATATTAACGAATCTCGAAGAAGAAAAATGAATTTCGAGTTTCCGAATAATAAGATGTATCAGTGCCTGATAAAACTAGTTTAAAAGAAGCGATCATGGAAGATCTGGTTCCCCCGTTAAAAACATCTGACAAGTTATATCAAAAAACTGCATTGATACGCCAACATACTGACTTTTAGTGTAATGTATTTAATCAAAGGGTATAGGGTGGGAGGAATCAAGATTTCATCAAACTAGTGTGGTTTTACCAATCTTTCTGTTCCGGAAACAGATCTGAGGAAGGAGAAATTTGGACTCTATTTTGATGTGCACTTTTCACACCGAAATTTAAACGCTTCGAAGAACTTCCAAACATGGCTTCCAAAAGTATCTATTTTTATATACTTATAATGTAAAGCTTTTTATAAATGATAATAAAGTTGAAAATCGTTCTACTTGAGAAATAAATGTTTTGAAACTTGGTACATACGCCCACGTACTGCTAACTAGATATTATATATGAATATTATCCACGTACTGCTAACTAGATATTATACCTACGTACTGCTAACTATATATTATATATGAATATTAACCCACGCACTGCTAACCAGACATTATACCCACTTACTGCTAACTATATATTATATATGAATATTACCCACGCACTGCTAACCAGACATTATACCCACTTACTGCTAGCTATATATTATATATGAATATTACCCACGCACTGCTAAC